TTGTTATATTATTATTATTATTTTTTTTTTTTAATATTTTGTGGACTTCTTGTAATTCTCTTTCGTTTAAAAGTAAAGTATTTATTATATTTTGTTTTGCCCATTGAGTTGCATATTTACATTTATTATTTCTTCTTTTATTAGTCTTACTTGATTGTGGAAACTTAATTCTATTTCATTATTAAACAAATTGTTTTTCTTGATTGTATTTTTTAACATACATRTTTCAAATTGTAGTTAAATTATTAATTCTATTCTGTAGTTGTTTATTTATAACGACCTGGTTGTTATTGTTTTTTTTTAAGGCTATTGGATTGTTTTGTATATTTGATAGATCATCCTGCAACATGCATTGTCTTACCAGTGTACCTATTCTTTATCTCATTTTCGGATAATAATATATATAATTTTGAAAGTTGCAGTTTGTTTTCCTGAGCGTTCCTATGAGCCTTGTTGTGAATCTGTAAAATTATCTCATCCTGATCTGTTTCTGTTTTTATGACTTTTACCTTCATTTGAGTAAATCTGATTTTAAAGGACCTGAAATGTTCTGGATACTTTGAATCTGCCCCATTGTCTCTGTCTTGTAGATTCCATTTATTACTGAAGGGTTAAAGTACTTTCTCAATATTTTCATTAAATCATCATCAGAGTCTGTTGATTGAAAAACAGTATATCTATGGAATGTACGGAATGGAATGGTATACTTGTAGTCAGGAGGATGTTCTTTGGAAATAAAATTTGGTTTTTAAAATCGTTTATCGGTACCTCGATGCTGTGAATAAGATTATGAGAAGAGCTTTGAGCTTTGAAGGGTTTCTGTTATTGAATTAATTTCATATTTTTTTGGTACTTGATACAATGCATCAGCTACAATATTTTCTTTTTCTGGTTTATATAGTAATTCCTTATTGTACTCATCCAGATAAGACTTCCATCTTTTAATCGCTATACCACCTTTTAAATTACAATCATGTGTAAGTGGTTCGTGATTTGTATAAACTTTTACCATAACCACCATAAAGATAACATTTAAAAGTATTTTCGATATAAACGCATTTGTTCTGTCAGATTGAGAGAGTACTGCTACTATTTCATGATCAGCGGCATCTGTGGTTAATGTAAATTCTTTATTGCAATCAGGGTATTGTAGTATTACGTCATCAGATATTAATTAAAATATTCATTAATATCTGCTGCTCAAACTGTCTAGATGTATTATTTTTCTAGATGAAGCCCTCTTTGATATGCGTAAGTCTTCTCCCCTAAGTGCTGTCGTTAGTGGTTTAGCTATTACAGCATAGCCCATTATAAACCTTCTATAATATCCTGATAGTCCAAGGAATGATCTCAGTTCTTTAAGAGTTTTTGAGCATGGGTAGTTGGCTATGGCTTCCAACTTTGCCGGATTCGTTTCTATTCCTTTGTCTGAGATAACAAATCCTAAAAATTCTACTTTGTTTTTGAAAAACTCACATTTGTCTAGTTGCCATTTGATATTAGCTGAATTTAGAATTTTGAATATAAGGTCAAGATTTTGTAATGAGTTTCTTTATCTTTTAGCATTTATCAACATAAAGGGGAGTCTAGTGAATTCGTACTTTCCGTTATTCACGGAGAACGCTGTTTTTTCTATGTCACTATGGAGGATGAGAAACCCACTCTTGAGGTCTAACACAGAATATATTTTATGGTTGCCCAACTGTGCAAGTACTCCCTGTCTCTTATACACATCAACACAGAATATATTTTATGGTTGCCCAACTGTGCAAGTACTCCTGTCCAAGTACTCAAGTATTTTTTTGTATTTGRTTCATCCAATTTTTTGTGGACAGACCACACAGTTGAATTGTAGGGTGATCGGGAAGGTCGTGTTATATTATTATCTAAAAGTTCTCTATCCAAGGCAGGATAACTCTTGCCAACAGGTGCTACTTCGGACTGGGTCAATAATATTCTTCCAGATGTGATAGTCGTCGCATGCGATAAATGTTGTGCATAGAAATCTTTGAGTTCAACTATATATTATCCTTAATCAAGCAGGACCCTGTTTTCCAAAACAAAAATTGTGTTCCACAATTAACAATCGATCTTCAACTAAAGATAACACTTCTTCGTCTGGGTTCAAGTGGAGAGAGTGCCTATTTAGAAAGACTGCAACATTGTTCGGAATAGGCGATGGCGGAATAGTTACCAAAGTGTCAAAGCGGTTTATCACCGCATTGATTAATTTAAAATCTACATTTTTATGTTGGCCATCTAGAGAAGAAAGGCGAAAGATTGTCGCAAAAACAATGGAAGAGCTTCCAGGATGTATTGGCTATGTTGACGGTACTGAAATCAGTTTAGCAGAGTCTCCTTCAAAAGATCACGAACTATACTTCTCTCGCAAAACACAATATGCCATAAAAATGCAAGTAGTATGTGACTATTCACTAAGAATTAGACAAGCGATAATTTTTGCCGAATCTGCAATAGGTAAATCCCACAAAATTATTTTTGTCATCGGGAATGGATTGCTGGCGATTCGGCATATCCGCTAAGCCAACACCTTATTACACCTTTTCAACTAAACAGTACTGAGCAGTCAAAAGAAATGAGAGATACTTTCAATCAATATTTCTCTATATATAGAGTACGTATAGAAAATTGTTTTGGGAAATTAAAAAAAAAAAAGTTTGCAGTTTAAAAGAACTACGGTTCCGATTAACGAACGAAAATAATTATAAAAATTGTTGTAGATGGATTTTGGCATGTTGTGTCCTTCGCAACATGTTGCCACAATTTAACTTAAACGAAAATTTTAGTTTAGAGAGTCAAGAAGAAACAGACTTCCCACAAGAAATTTATGAATACGACGATCTGAGGAAAGCTCTATCACATTTTGTAAACAATAAAGATATAATTATTTAATTGTATGTAGTATATATGTATAGTTTTATTTTTTAATTCCTCCATTGCTATTCGTTCCTTCAAGCTCTCTTAAAGCCAATTTTTCGTTCATTTCAATTTCTAGTATTCTTATTCTCTCTTCTGAATTGCATTTCTCTTTTTCAAATAAAAATTTTTCGTCTTGTAAATCAAATTCTTTTTATTTTGAAGATAGCTCCCTATCTTTCATTTTTGATTCTATCTTTAACTTTTTTTTACAAGCTCTCTTAAAGCCAATTTTTCTTTCATTTCAATTTCTAGTATTCTTATTCTCTCTTCTGAATTGCATTTTTCTTTTTCAAATAATTTTTCGTATTGTAAATCAAATTCTTTTTATTTTGAAGATAGATCTTTCATTTTTGATTCTATCTTTAACTTTTGTTGCTTCACCTTAATTAAACCTGTGTGCATAGTAAGCACATCGGCAAGACCTGTCCGCGAATAAATACCCTTCCGATTTATTGTGTTGCATGTAGATTCTAGACCGACTTCTTGAAAACTATCTTCAGGTGTGGTAGATACATTTGCATTTCTGGTCGTTGAACCGGCGTCGAAATCGTCTGTGGTTCACGTCGAGTTGTTTTCTAAGGCTTCTGTATCCAAAACAAATGCTTTGGATTGGAACTCTTTATAGCCAAGTATATCTTCCAAATCGTAGAATAAAGGACAAGTTCTTAAAATTATACCTAAAAATATAAATTATTATTATTTTATACCAAAGAATTTATTTTTAAATTACTTTCTGTTGATTCGCCGTCTTGCATGGAACCTACTCCTGTCGAATTCTGCCAAGCTCATGCCTTTGTATAGCATTGGCGCAAGTGCCTTGCCTTTAGCCTCACTAAAAACCAATCTAACCGCAGATTTTGTGTCTCTAAAAATTTTTAATAATACACCTGTGCTGTCGGCTTTTCAATCGCATGTATGTAATTAATTTCTGTTGCTCCTCATTGCTCCATTTTCTGTACGGTACTTTGCGTACACGTTTTGATTTAGCCTAAAACATATATTTTTCATTATTATATTTGCATTTACACTTTTTTTTACATATTTTAATTTTACTTACAATTTTGCTTCCATCATATTCCAGTTTCAAATGTAAATAAAGTCAGCTGATCAGAGATGACAGTTTGCCACAATTAATAAACAAGCTCAACACAGTGGGAATAGTGGTGAAATTGTTTTTCACGTAAAACAAAAACAAAATAGATACCACGTCGGTAAATATGGGAATATTGCCAATTTAACATGCTAAATAATATTTAACTGTGAACAGCTTAATTGTGTCTTAAAAATACCCTAAACTAGCTGTGGTTCAACGGCAGCGGCGTCGGCGTTCTTAACGGCAGAGTTCAGCGGATGTTGAGTGGTCAACAGMATTTACAATATATTGAAGTGGATGATTGTTTATTTTCATTATTATTTATTGATCAGCAATAATGTCGATCGAGTCTGGGAGTTGCAGCTGATGTTTGTTTTAACAAATTTATGTATGTTGTTGAACTTTAACAACGACATTGTTGCAATGAATTGTTAGGTTAAAATAAATATTTGTTGTGTGTACATTACTCGTATGGGAATGTCATACGCATGTATGTACATATAGAGCACGCGCGCACATTATGTTACTGATAAATGGTACTATGTTGATTTGAAAGTGATTTGTACTTACRTACATATATATATCATTGTTGTAATATATTAAGGTTTTTAGGATATTATGATAATATATCATATACGTATATAACAGATATTATATATGCATGCATATAAAATTATATTACATTATCAAAGATAAGAAATATTTAAAAATTWGGTCATTAACCATTAACCATTAACTACAAATATTGGTTGGAGAATCGCTTGTATTAATAATAATGTTATTAATTTTGCATGAATTCATAAAAGTTCGCAAAATTCTATTTATATCAATTGATATGATAGCATGTAAACGTATAAAAATTTAAGCCAAAAGTCCAACAGGCGTCTGTAAAAGCAATATATATTTCAGAGCATAATTTTCATTGAATTCTCAGTTCTGTTCACTCATTTCTGTTAAAACTTCTCCTGCCGAGCCAAAAGTGGGTAAATCCACCAATAGACAATTCCTGGGTCTTGACAGTTCACACGCTTGTCCGTAGTTGGTCTTTCTCTATAATAAACGTTCTATGGTAAATGCATACATGCGAAATACACTTAAATAAACAATGGTACGCTACACTGCTCCAGAACGAGGGTTATTGGTGACTATTCATTGGACCCATAATCGGTCGGTGACTTTGGCACAACATGAATTTCGTCGCAGATTTCCTGGCTGTCCGACGCCTACTGGTGAAACACTGAGACGTTTAGCCGCTCGCCTCGAAGAGACTGGCACAACACAAGATGCTGCCAGGCGTGGCAAACAGAAAACCCATTCTGCATAGAATGTTGCTGCTGTTGCCGAAGATGTCTTGGAAGCCCCGTCGACATCGAGCAGACGACGTGCCACGACGGTGTTTACAGCGAATTTTGGTACAAGATTTGAAGATGTTTCCGTAAAAAGTCCAGACGCTGCATCAGCTGTTAGCTGCTGACAGCCAATCCGTCTAACATACCCTCAAGCTATCCTTAATCACCACCAAGAGGAAGATGATTTTTAATCAAAAATAATCATGAGTGATGAGGCCTCTTTCCATCTTAGGGGGTACGTAAATAAGCAAAATTTATGCTTCTGGGACGCTGAAAATCCGTGTGTAACCCACGAAGAACCATTACACCCGCTCAGAGTCACTGTATGGTGTGCTGTTTTAGCTGCAGGAGTCATCGGACCTTTTTTCTTCGAAAACGTCGCGGGCCAACCGGTTAATGTGAGTGGTGAGCGCTACAGAGCAATGATCAACGAGTTCTCTTTACCGCAACTTGATGAATTGGGATTGGAAAACACGTGGTTCCAACAGGACGATGCAACGGCACAAGGATGCATTTCCCGTTCCCATTCTCTTAAAGACAATATCTGTCAAGAATGTGAGGACCTATTGCCGGAAGTTCTGACCAAAGTGATGAAGAATGCCACAAAAAGGGCTCAAATGAAAATCAACTGTGGCGGCGGCCATTTACATGATATCATATTCTAGACTTGATGTAAAAAACCTTTAAGGACGAAATAAAAATATGCCACAAGCAGAATCAAAGTTTTTAATTTGTTTAAAAAATTACATCCAAAAAACATTGGAAGGTTATTTTTGCGCCACCTTTACAATGATGCTTTGAGCAATATCAATGCAATGATCCATAATCATGCAGATAGTAATTTCATAATTTTTAGGAAACCCTTGACATTGCTGTAGTATTTTCCAGAATAAATTTTCAAGCCTCAACGAAAATCATTACATGTAGTGTATCAGAGTTGAAGGAATTTGTAGACCAACTTCATATATTTTCGACATTAGACCACAGTATATCAATATTATACTTTCATTTAATTTTGTTGTATATGTAAGATATTTTACATATTGACAGATTTGTATAGTATAAAATCACCCAGAAGTTTAAAAATCCTATATTAAGTATATGGAAGAGATTATATATTATACACATACATATTTAATAGTAGTGCACCTTTGTGCTTAACATTAGATAAAATAGGGGAAAAACTTGCCCTAGACCCTATAAAATATCAAGATTTTGAAACATTCGGTTGATTTTACTTCCTATATAAACTTAAAAAACTTTTTTTTTTCTATTAATAATTATTTACTTTTGCAGAAATTGATGACTTTGTAAACATTAATAACAAATTAAACGAATTAGTAATAAATAACAATAAGCAATTCAGAAATTTTTAAAATAATAACAGAATTAACTGACATAGTAAATAACGTTAAAGGTGATACCACAAACAGGACAATAAAAAGAAAATGAAATCAATGTGTTATACATGAACTGCAAAATTTAATAAATGCAATAACTTTTTGTAAAATTGGAATTTTAAATCCAACAATTTTACACTTTGATGAACTAAAAAACACAACATATTACCAACACGGTATAATGACCATAACAGATTTAATGGACAATTCTAAATTTAAAATAGCCCAAAAAGGAGACATAATTATAATTTATATAAAATACCCTAAAATAGACCTAACATGTAAGTACTATGATGTAAGAGCCATGGCTCAATTAGATGGCAAACTTATTATTGACCAGAACATAATATATTGTAAGAATTATTTATATTCAAAATTGTAAAACAGAAATTTCAAAAACCTATTGTCAACTAAATAAAAAAAGCACATGGTCATCAGAAATTTTAAACAAAAAACAAGGAAAATGTAATAAACTAAAAGAAAAAACTTACAAATTGAAGAAATTAAACCAGAAGCGATATTAGTTTCAGGAAAAAATATTGTAGATAATCAAACATTAAATGGAACATATTTAATAACATTTGAAAATTATACTGTCATAACTAATCAAACTTATGAAAACATTGAACTAAAAATTTGGAATTATTTTAAAAATAATCATATAAATAATTTAGAAATTTTAGAATATTTTKAAACAACTAATAAACTGTTAAAATTAGATAATATAAATATTTTAGCAGAACGGAACAAGAACATCACAGTCCATTCAGTTTTTTGGTACATAATTTTAATCTCGGGAATAGTTTTCATAACTTACTTAATACTAAAATTAAAAAAATTTCGCGAAATTCCCAAACTAATCGAAAATACGCAATTTCAAGAAATCGCCTATAATGCTCTTTTGGATAAAATATATAAATTAACACAAAATAATAGTAAATCGGGGACGATTCATTTTAGGAAGGGGGGAGTTAACGATATCCTCCGCATAGAAACCTTACCATAACTMTAAATAAAATTGAATCTTTGCATTTTGCAATTACACTTTAAAATTTAAGAATTCAATATGCTTTTTCCGTTCTCAATCCAATAATCCATTATGATCAAAACAATATCGCTCGCCCTCACAAGAAGGCATAACAATAACAATCGTAAAGARAACAGAACGCTTAACGTTCTGCTGGAATTCGCTGTCACAGCTAATATTGTAATTAACTCTTTGTTCTGGATTCAATCAAGCTGATGCTTACACTTCAGCTTTAGCTTTAACTTTAAGTAAATAAGTCAAAAATGTATATATATTAGTAAATCAGGAATAAAGATTTGATTTGTATCTGGCAAACCACAGGAACCACACGTGTTCTTATTTTATCCGCGCGTTCGCGGATGTAAAACATATCTTTTTTTAAAATTCCCTCGTCGCGGGAATTAATTTGCATGCTGCTTATGATACTCCCAACAACAGCATTGTGATATTTTCATGCTTCAATTTTTGCTTTCGCAATGTATGCAAATATGTATGCTTTTGCGTTTTGCCGCCGGCATTTCCATATTGGCATATAAAAATAGTTATGATATGAGTATAATTTTGTACGAATGCACGCATAGTTCTATTTACAGTTAATTTGGACTTGAATATTTAATAATTTTATTTGATTTTTCCATAATATACTATACTAATAGTAGTAATAGAAACAGAATGTATCACAGCAATAATAAATACATACATATATCGGCTATCATATTAATCTTATTATTTGCTAATATGTATACGCATGTGCGCGCATTAATCTGCTTCTTCATCATTCATATATTCTTTAATGTACATACATATATTTGTATACACTTCCGAACAAATAATGCACAAGCATGCACCAACAAAAAATTTTCAAGCACTGTTCTACAAAAACTGCCAAATGTAGTAAATTTTACAACAAAAACGATTTCATTCATAAGCGCAGGCGCAAGTTGTACAAGCGATCTCGTTTCATTCATAAAAAATAGACGCAGAAACATCACCCCGTGCATGCCTTTGCCTACAAGCGTTTTTTCGCGACGATGGCGAAAGCTAAAAATCATAAATTKAACAACTTTCTGATGCTTCTTCACAGAAAGAAGTCAGAAAAGTGGCAACAAGGCGTTGTCGATTTATAATATTTGTCCATTCTAAAATATTTTTCGTGACTCGCAAAAATCTGCGTCGATATGTATGCAGGCTCATACATATGCATACATATTTACGCTAATTAGCAAGCGAAGCTGTTACAGCGGCAAGAAAAGCGGTCAATAGGCGGCCATTCGTTTATTTTTTTCGGCACAGCTTGGATTTTCTATCATCATACAAGTGCTGAACCAATGAGCGCGACAGATATTGGAATACACACGTTCTTAGGGACACAGGTATTGAGACAGCTGTGTCTCTAATAACGTGTGTATTTTAATATTTGACAGATATCGTGCTCAATGTGTTCAGCACTTGCCTCTTTGACAAAACGCAAGTTTCGGAAATTGGTTGACCGTGACTTCGGAGATGCGAAAGAAGCGTGCCACACTTGTTATTATGAATGTATGTACATATGTATATGACTCGCATTTGCTTTCGTAAACATACAGACAAATGTGCCAAAGAAATAATATAATATATGTACATTCGCATGTGTCATGTCTGAGTGGGTAGCGTTAGGTTTTTTCGTTACTTCTGGATTCGGTCCCCACGCTCAAGGCCTGTGATGGAAACTATGCAATAGCTTAATAATAATGTCAATGGAAAACTTAGAATAAATTTGAAAATTTCTGAATCGTTCAAATTTAACAACATGGTGCAAAAAACATCAACATTTCAGTGAATT